AAACATATAAAATACTTGTCTACATAAAACCTCTACATTTCCCGTGAATCGCTGCATTAAATGTGTTGTCTATAAATGCCTTTGTCAGCATTATTAATGCTTTTGGGGGCAGAGCACGCCCAAGTGAATTGCGTTGCGTACCACCGAATATGTTGCCAACACCTTGCTTGCGTAGCCCTCCAGACTCAGTCACATTTGGCGGTATTTGAACAAGGACGCGTAACGCTGTTCGTTGGATATATTGCAGCAAGTGAATGGTGCAGTATGGAGACACTCTACCCTATGTTACTATATGGGTTTCTGTATTTTTACACAAGCAGTGTTAAAGGCATGCCGATAGATTATGTTGCCGCTGACGGACTACGTTATCGGGAATGATGTTGGTTTCGGGCAATCCTAATACGCCGTGGGTGGTTGCGTATTCGATGATTCGCGGTTGAAATTATTACCGTGTCTGACAAGCGATCGTCCAATCCCGCCAGCACAAAATTTTGAACCTTTAAATATGCCACTTTATTCATCTTCTGCTTCCACTTCCTTACCATCAACAAGAAATAAAACGTCAAAAAATGTCCAAGGTATACGTCATTGGTGCAACTGGAGGTATCGGTGGTTCAGTCGTCAAGGAGCTGTTGGAGAAGAATGTTCAAGTCACTGCTCTTGTTCGTGATCCATCCAAGGCAGAACAGCTGTTTGGTCAATCAGTCAATTTGACTCTCGTCAAAGGCGACTATGAAGATCTAGACGGCTACAAGAGTACCATTGCTGGCCACGACAGACTTTTCCTCCTTGTTCACTCCTTCGGCCATATGCCTGCCATCAAAATTAACCTCGCTACCATCGCTTATGCCGCTGGCGTAAAGCAGGTTGTTCACGTCTCGTCAGTCTCCGTTTGTGGACCTTGGAGAGCAAGCTTTATCGCCACTGAACATTACGACTCAGAAGTTGGTATCTTGAGCATCCCTAACCGTGGCAAATACGTGACCTTGAGACCCAACCAATTTTTCAGCAATCACCTCTTCAGTGACGACAAGACTATTCGTGCCAAAAACGTCATTTACGGATCGGCCGATCCTGACCTTGGTCTGCACTGGGTGTCTCCCAACGACATTGCTAAAGTCGC